GTGTGCGCGTAGATCGTGCGCTATAAACTCGGTTCGCGACTAAACGGCCAACCAAAAGCGGTGGGTAGAAGACACAAAAGTAAACTAGGGTAGAAGTTTATTGGACGGGAGGAGCGTTAGCTAATGCTAAAAATAGGGCACCCGGAGAGAGCTAGCTGGGGAGAATGTCGTTGGCGTCGAGAGCGTAGACGGAGCGTCGTCCGCAGTCGAGCCGCGCGCCAAAGGCCGAGATGGCGTTTGTGTTTTCAACAAACGGGAACAACGTTCCAACAGGCAAACCGCCTAGTTCCCTAATACATAAGAAAGCTATAATTTGAATGTATTTTAGATTAGTTTACACAGTCATACGGGGGAATCTCCAGGTCGCTACAAACTCTTTACCGGTTCTCTTCCGATACGCTTCAGATGTCAGGACATCTGATTTGGAAAAGCATGGTGCAGTTCGCATTTGAAAGCGCTTTAAGTCACTTTCGAAATTCTCAACAGTGCGGTACACACGCTGAAGGAAGACAGCACGGAAATCAGCGGTATCGTCAGCAGCCGTGATAGCGACTGAATCCGCCAACGCACTTTATGGTGCATTCAAACTATCATCATAATCATATAAAACTATGTCCGCGTTGAAATCGATACCATTTTCTTCACATTAACAACTCTTAGATCCCAATGTAATCTTCGCTTTTCCTTCACCAAGGCACAGTTGCACGCTGTCCGCTACGGAAATCTCCCAGTCGCCTACCTATCACCGACCGTTCTGGAGCACGGTCCCGGTTTCAGCTGCGCGTTTTGTGATGTTGACCGTCGTCGGTCTGCTAGCCTCGTTCATCACTCATCGGATCTAACGCGTCAAATTATTGTGCTGACCAAGTTTCGTCTTCCGACCTTATTGTGCGATTGACGGCCTACCGAGGATCGTGCTTTACCGAAGATCAGGTCTAGCATTCTTATTTTATAGACGGGGAGTTCTTTTATGTAGTCACTCCCTCTTCGTTTAAACTCCACTACAAATTTGGTGACCCCCTCCTCTTTTTTTAAAGCTCAGAACTTCTTTTTTGTGCCTTTACTATGTCGGACCACGATTCCTGCATCGACAATTAAGAAAATTTTGTTCGTTTCTCCCCTGCCTTCGATTCACCTAATCCTCATGTGTGGTTTTTACAATTGAAAGCTCTTTTTCGCATACGCCGTATTACTTCTCAGTCATTAGTGTTCGTGCATATCACTGCCCAGCTTCCTACCCACATCGCAACCGACCTTATAGATTTGCTCGATCCGATTCCGACCGACGCACCTTACCATAAGCTGATAGCCGCCGTATTAAAGCGCACCACGTCTTCCGACAAAGCTAGACTTCGACAGTTACTTTCCGATGTTGAACTAGGCGATCGCACGCCGTCACAACTCCTCAGACACATGCGTACGTTGGTCGATTCCTCTGAGATCGATGACACAATTCTGCGACAGCTGTGGACGAAATGTCTTCCAGCAAACACCCCAGCTCTTCTCGCTGTCTTCGCAGATGATTTGTCTTTGGACAAGCTGCCCGAGACAGCAGACAAAGTTTATGAGTGCTTTCATTTAAACGCAGCATGTCACTCAGTTGAGCCGACTGCTAACGCCGATCTTAAGACTGACCCGATTGAATCCATTTCCGAGAGGTTATCGAAGCTGGAGTTCACTATCTCGAGCATTAGTCGCTACCGTGGTAGAGGCCCTAGACGCTCCTCTCGAAGTAGACGTAGTCCGGCCAGTAGTTCGACACATCATTTCTGTTGATACCATCACCGTTTTGGCGATGATGCAAGGAATTGTCAACCTGATTGTAACAATCCGATGGCCTTCCATAAACCACAGCAGGGAAACTTCCACGCCATCCAGTGATGGCAACAGCTGCGTCTGGCCAATCTTGTAGTCGCCTACTTTACGTCTACGATTCCTGAACTAATTTGTACTAATTGGTTGACACCGGTGCCGAGGTCAGCGTTATTCCTCGTGCTGCAGGAAAACGCAACCTACATTGCAAACGGCGAACAATACCAAGATCCATACATACGACCAGAAAACGCGGACTCTCAACCTTGGTCTTCGTCAAAGTTTTCCCTTTGTTTTTCTCATCGCTGACGTCCAACGCCCCATCCTTAGTGTTGATTTTCTTACCAAGTTCGGCCTGATCGTGGAGCTACGTAACCGTAAACTATGCGATAGTTTGACATCCTTGTCCGTTTCGGGTAAAGTCACTTCGATTAGTTCGATCGGTCTTCGCTTGGCATTGCCCGCCTACAATGGTTTCACCAAACTGTTGCTGCAGTTTCCAGCTCTTTATCAATCGTCTGCTGACTTTCTTGAGCCTAAGCACGAAATTACGCACCACATCTTAACACATAGACCACCAGTAACCGCCCGACCTCGACTATTACCTCCAGACATGCTAGCTACTGCCGAGTCACAGTTCGAACATATGGTTCGTCACGGTATTGTTCATCCTTCCAATAGCCCACGGTCCTCCCCGCTTCCTGTGGTTCCCGAAAAGTCCAGTGGTAACTGAAGACCTTGCGGAGATTACCGGGCACTAAACAACTCCACCGTCCCCCGATAGATATCCAATTCCGCACATCCATGATTTTTCAACTTGTTTACATGGAGGAACAATTTTATCTAAGATTGACTTGGTGCGTGCATACTACCAAATTCCGATTGCTCCCGACGATATTCTGAAGACCGCCATAACCACCATTTGGTATTTATGAATTGGTTCGCATGCCATTTGGTCTACGAAATGCCGCACAGACTTTCCAAAGGTTTATCGATCAAGTCCTTAGAGGACTCGACTTTGTCTACGCCTACATTGAGGATATTCCTGTGGCCAGTTCCAATCATGACGAGCATCTGTCACATTTCCGATCGATCTTCAAACGCTTTGCTCAGTACGCCGGTACGATCAATGTTGACAAATGTGTTTTTGGCCAGTTCTTTTGATTTTTCGGCCATCGAATTGATTGCAACGGCATTAGTCCACTCTCCAAGAAAACACAAGCGATTGCAGATTACCCCATGCCGCAATCCTTCAAAAGTCTCCGTCGTTTTCCCGGCATGGTGAATTATTACAGCCGTTTCATACCAGATTTGCTCTGGGCTACTCCAGCCATTGACCGATTTACTTAAAGACAGGTCACGAAAATTGGAGCCCACTCAAGAAGCTATTTATGCATTCGACAAGAACAAGCACGCGTTGTCCAACGCTACCTCGCTTAGTCATTTGAGGACATGTTGACACTACTCTCATCCTCAAGATTGATGCATCTCAGACCGCCGTTGGGGCTGTTCTCAAGCAAGTAATCAACGGTCAACATGAGCCGCTTTTTTTTCTCTCGCAGACTTCAGCCAGCACAGACGCGACACAGCACCTTTGGTCAAGAACTTTTAGCTATCTACCTCGCTATCAAACATTTTCAGCACCTACTTGAAGGTCGCACGCTTACCATTCTTACAGACCATAAATCACTTGCCTTTGCTTTCCGTGGTTCATCGGACCATTCCCCCCCCCCAGAGAAATTCGTCATTCGGATTATATCTCACATTTTTCTACCGACATTCGCCATGTTGATGCTGCAAATAACGTTGCCGCCGATGTCATGTCGCGTATGTCTTCACGAAGTTTCACGGCAGTCGATCAACTTAGGAGACATATCAGCTCGTCAGGCAGGAGATCCTGAGTTTGTGCAACAGATCAAATCCATCGATCAAAATATCACAGTTGCCAATCCTTCACTCGGACTCCAAGATTGACTTGTGATATTTCTACCGGCAAGCCCCGGCCTTTAGTTCCTCAGCAGTACCGCCGAATCGTCGTTGACCACCTGCATGGAATCTTACCCGAGCATCCGAGCCACCGTCAAGCTGATTACTGATCGCTTCATTTGGCACAACATACGCTCCGAGATCCAGCAGTGGGCCAAACACTGTATCACTTGCCAGACCAGCAAGATCCACCGTCACACGATTACCGTCCCCGTCACATTTGCTCTTCCGAACGTTCGTTTCAAATATGTTCATGCTGACATCGTTGGACCCTTGCCTCCATCCAACGGTTTTGTCTACTTATTGACATGTGTTGATCGTTAAACTTGTTGGCAGCTTACCGAGCCTTTACGTGATGCTTCTAAAACTGTGGCGCAAACATTCATTGCGAATTGGATTTTCGTCTTTGGCACGCCAGCCACTATTACTACCGATAGAGGGCCCCAATACCATTTGTCCTAGTTTCGTGACATGAACCGTTTCCTCGGTGGGAACCACCTACGGACAACCGCCTATCACCCAGCTGCTAATGGCATCGTTGAACGTTTCCATCGCCAATTTAAAGTCGCAATTACTGCTTCACAGTTGAACTCACAATCGTCAGAACGTCTACCGATTATCTTGCTTGATATTCGTAACACCATGAAAGAAGACATTGGCTGTTGTCTCGCTGAGTTGGTCTTTGGCACTACTCTCAGACTTCCTGGAGAAATGGCGCTAGACTCAAGGATTACTGGAGCTGGACCGGACAATACCTACATTTCAACAGTTACTGTCCAATGAACTAAAAACGATCCCTAGTTCGAACTTGTTTTGTTAGAGCACACCGATTATGCTCTGAAGAGTCAATCGAGGCTGAATTACGATACATCAAATCTAACCTACGCAATAACGGCTATCCGAATAACTTCATCGCTAGGTATGGGAATGAGGTCGCTAAGAAAGAAACACGAATGGATGTCCCAAAGAAAAAGGTCTTCATCACGCTACCATACAAAGGGAAACAGAATGACGGAAGATTGCGCTACCGATTACGCTAAGCCATAAAAGGGTGCTACTACGCAGGTGAGCTCGTCTTGTTACATCAAACCAAGAAGCTGTCCCCTGAATTCAACTTGGATAGTCCTCACTCTCAGGTTACCGCCTCATGTGTTTACTAATTCACTTTTACTTGCGGTATCATGTACATTGGCCGAACCGAGAGAAGGCTATGAACTAGGAGCATGGCACATATTCCACGGAACCTGGCAAATAGTGGACCTAAATTCCCTACCAGCTCAGTCGGTCAGCATTTGCTCGATTGTACCTTGTGCAAAAACCCACGTAACCCATTCAACGTTATCAGCAGACAAAACAACGCGAGTTTGCTTCGTTTCGCTGAAACCTCTGCCATCCGACGAATGAAACTAAATCTTTGCAAACAGGTAGATCTTGTGGCCAGTCTTGCCTTGCCCTGTTAAGACGCAGGTGGTGACCTTGATTTTCTCAGTGTTTTATTGATTTTCTCAATGACCCTTTTTCAATTTCATTCCTTTACTTTTTCCACGAATTGTTTGTTAGCGGCTGAATGAGAAGACACGAAATAATCTGAATTCTGGTTATCCCGTAAAAATGCTGTTCATTCTTGCTCTCTTCAAAGGTTACTGGAGCAATTGATCCGACCTCGTACGTCACACGCCTGAGGCAACACTTCAGTTCAATTCGTCCTGCACCACCTCGAATCAGTCCTCGGAGTCAACAGGTACACCCGGATTTGCACACTTGCCCCTTCATTTTCGTGCGTGTCGATTCCGTCCGTATATCTCTGACACCGCCGTACGAGGACCCCTTTAAGGTTGTTGCCTGGAGAGAGAAGCACTTCGTGCTGGATAGAAATGGTCATTAAGGTACTGCGAGTATTGACCGCTTGAAGCCGGCTTACATCGAGACGCGGCCACTATCGAAACCCACGGTCATTCCTGTCACCGAGCAGCCCACGTTCTCAAGTACGCCACCTACTCAGCCCATGTGTGACACCACTGTTCCCTCTTCTGCACCACAAACATCTCACGATAAACTCAAAATCGCATCACCGAACACGCTTCGGACGTACAGTTTTTCTCCCTTCCAGACTACGGTAAATGACAAGTATCGAGCTTCCGTCTCAGTGACTCACGCTCCAGGGGGGGGAGTTCTGTAGCGATTGTACATATCTCTCTTCCCAATTGTACTTTCGTCTTCTCATTTCAACTATTATTGTACAGTTTTTTTAACTGACCAACAACCGATAAAAGACTTTCAGGTTTCGATTCGCCTTCTGGTTTTGGCTACGCGTGTTGTGCTGTTGATCGTCTTCGGTCTGCTAGCCTCGTTCATCGATCATCGGATCTAACGCGTCGAATTATTGTGCTGACTAAGTTTTGTCTTCCGACCGTATTGTGCGTCTAACTGACGGCCTACCGAGGATCGTGCTTTACCGAAGGTCATATCAAGCATTCTTGTTTTATAGACTGGGAGTTCTTTTATGTAGTTAAGCCCTTTTCATTTAGTCTTCCCTCCTGTGACGTCAAACGTCATGCATCACATTTGCACTTAAGGTCCACCTATTTCGGCCCGCCCTCGCAGACTAGCCCCGGACAAGCTCAAAGCTGCTAAGGCGAAATTCAATCAAATGCTCGAACTGGGAATAATCCGCCCGTCCAAAAGCCCATGGGCATAACCATTACACATGATACCGAAGAAATCCGGTGACTTGCGCCCCTGTGGTGGCTACGGGGCACTTAACAAAGTTACCGTCCCGGATAAATGCCCCATACCGCACATGCACGACTTAACCTCAGCTCTAGCTAGTAAGTCTATCTTTAGCAAAGTCGACCTTGTTCGGGCCTACCATCAGATACTGTGATGCCAGACGACATTGCTAAAACGGCGGTCATCACGCCATTCAGCCTATTTGAATACCTCAGAATGCCTTTCGGCCTCAGCAACGCTGCTCAAACTTTTCAACGTTTCATTCATGAGGTAACGCGAGGACTCGAAGACGTTTATCCTTATCTAGATGACAATTCTCATCGTCATCTCTTCTGACGATGAACACCTCGATACTGTCTTCCAACGTTTGACGCAACATGGGTTACCGTCAACCCCGATAAATGCGAGCTTGGCCAAAGCTCCATCGACTTTCTTGGTCACCGCATATCCGCCTCTGGTATTGAAGCTCTGCCAGACCAAATCCAGGCACGGAAGGACTATCCTGCTCCTAGTTCCTTCAAACAGTTACGCCGATTCCTTGGCCTGGTCAGCTATTATAAACGCTTTATTCCTAACTGCGCGAGCATTGTTCAACCAATGACTGACTTGCTCCGTGGCAACCAACACTCTTTTCATTTTCCAGACAACTCTAGACTGTCTTTTGAGAAGCTGAAAGACGCTATCCCCAACATAGCGCTTCTCGCCCATCCAGACACATCAGCACCACTTTTCCTGACAACTGACACATCCGACACTGCCGTCGGTGCAGTTGTTCAACCACTCATCGACCATCGATGGATATCTCTAAGTTTCTTCTCGAAACCTTTACAACCTGCTGAATCGCGTTACAGCACCTTCGGTAGGGAACTATTAGCTATCTACCTAGGTATCAGATATTTTTGTCACTATCTAAAAGCTCGACATTTTACAGTCTTCACTGACCACAAGCCATTGATCTACGCAATCACTGGCGCAACGGATAAGTATTCTCCGCGAAAAAGTAGACACTTAGACTACGTTTATCAGTTTTCGACAGGCGTACGAGATGTCTCAGGTGCTCTCAATCCCGTCACGGATGCGCTTTCACGCAACAGCAGATCAGCTTATTGCCTGGCACCAACATTGACCTAGCCGCCATGGCTGCTGCTCAACAAGTTGATCCCGACATAGACAAACTACGACGCAACACCTCGTTGAAACTACGCGAAGTTCCACTAGCTTCATCTGAGGGAACCATTCTTTGTGACGTCTTACAAACTTCTCCCCGACCCGTAGTTCCTACTTCGATGCGTCGACTAGTTTTCAACGCTTTACACAACCTGTCTCATCCCGGCATACGTGCTTCGCAGAAGCTCGTAACGGAACGCTTCGTATGGCCCAACGTCCACTGCGATATCCGCCTTTGGGCACGCTCATGATTAGTGTCAGCGTGACAAGGTATACAGCCACACCAAAAGCCCACTTGGCGTCTTTCCCGCTCCTGACTCTCGTTTCGCACACGTCCATGTCAACCTGGTCGGACCTTTGACCCATGCAAAGGCTACGTGTACCTCCTCACCTATATCGACCGGTTCATCCATTGACCAGAAGCGATTCCGATAGTTAACTGCTCATTTGAGACAGTTGCGCAAGCTATCCTAGAACGCTGGGTAGCTCAATTCGGTTGCCCAAGCGTAGTCATCACTGACAGAGAACCACACTTTGACGGATCCTTCAGCAAACTGTTCAACCTTCTTGGTTGTCAACACAACCGAACCACCGCATGCCACATCGCAGCTAATGGGATGGTAGAAAGATTCCACCGGCAACTCAAAGCATCACTCTGTACCCAGTCTAGTACATCCTGGCACGAAGCACTTCCGCTCGTTTTCTTAGGATTAAGAAATAAGATTAAATTGGATTTGCACGCCACTCCATCTTCGCTAGCCTTTGGATGCACACAACGCTTACCTGGTGAACTCGTTTCACCACAAGCGCCAACAACCTTTGACTATGGCGACTACGCAGCTCGCCTATCTCATCACATGCGACAGCTTCAGCCTGTGGAACCCAGAGCACAGAGCTTGCATACCAACGTGGACGAACACTTAACTACTTGCACGCACGTATTCGTTCGCACTGACAGCGTACGCCGGCCACTCCAACCTCCTTATTCTGGCCCGTACCGTGTCGTACACAGAAGTGACAAGACGTTTACCATTGACTACAATGGTAAGACTGGGAAGATCAATGTCGATCGATTCAGGCCAGCATCCCTCGACAAGTCTGACTCTTTGGTGCAACAAGCACCTTCACATCTAGCACCGCAACCTCAGACCAGTCAGTTCGCACCAGCGGAACCTGCAACCTCAACCAACAGCACTCCTATTCGCCCTGCTATCAATAGACGAGGTAGGAAGCTCAAACCTTCAGTTCGTTTTTCGGACTTTGTTAGTACTTATTATTTTACATAGAACGTGCCTCTGAAATCTTTTGCCCTTACGAAACGTTTTCCAAAATCCACAAAAAAAACCAAAACGTTTTTAAACCACCAAAAAGAGCAAAACCTTTCGAAAACCCAAAAACAGCTTTGCACGTTTTTTCGCTTTGCACTGTTTTGTGTATTGTTATGCATTTACGCTGCTTTTTCATTTTGCTTTCCATATACACTGTCGCTTGGTTGCACCTTGGTTTCACTTTTCGCTGGATCTGCGCACGTCAACTGGAAATGGAACGAACTTCCTGCTCAACCACCTACGTGGACTTTACTAACTGTCCCCCCACAAACAGTTTTTTTTACCGTTTCGAAACCGTAGGGAGGACACGGATGGGAGCCCGCTAGGGTCCGATTGCATGGTTCTCCCCCAGCAGCTGCATCAGGTTTCACAACCTGGTCTCGCAGAAGGCTGGCCCGCGACGGACAGTCCTCCCGTAGATCGAAGGACTGCTTACGCAGTCCCTTCTGGGGAAGGGCTACGTAGCAGTCTGGAGATTCTCCGGTTCGCCTGTGTAAAATTCTGACTAAAATTATTTAATTGTACACCTAGGCGACCGGTGTGGTTTGCTGAACTGATTGCTGAATTCGAATGCTTGATTTGCTCATCGCCATTTTTGCTTGGCGCTCCTTTCGGTTGCAGCGCGCGACTGACCTGTTTGCTGTGCATCCTCCGTTCCCTTAGCTAGAGCGTCAACGGTGTCCTATTTTATAGCTAGGTAACAGGGAATATTTTGCTGTACCAATAGAACTTACCCTGCAACCCGATCTGCCTTTTCGAATCGCTCTCTGGGTTCCCGCTACAGGCTACCCGCTAAAGCGTAAACCGATCAGGCCAAGGCCTGCTTACTTGCAGAACAGCAGACTGCAGCCGATCCATCGTAGTAACCATTTTACAGAGATAAGTGAATTTCCTAGTGCGTCTCGTTTGAAATCCTATTATATTACCTGATTTTGCATCTTCTGGTCGTGCACATTTTTGACATCTTACCTTATGTCACGCCCGAAACTTCGATAGGTGGGCCACGTACTGCGCATGGTAGGGAACGGGCTTCCGCGATGTGCGTCGCTTGCGCGCCGGGGTGCGGATGGAAGAAGAGAGATGGCCAAGCGATGACTTAGTTAAGAGGAATGCGGGTCTTTACTTCGAAATTAGCCTCGGTTGGAGCTTCTGGGCTTTCTGATTGGGGCCCGAAAAACCACGAACACCTTTGGCTGTACATAGATGTTGACATGGCTAACAACCGACCTCAATGGCGTTTGTTTTGTGGGTTTATTTGTCCCTCGTCTTCCCGCTTATCCTCGCACTCCAACCGCGATCTGATTTTTTCGCGGTACAGTAGCTGCCTGGGAGCTTTCCGAAGAGATGTCCAGCTGTTATTGTTGGCTCAGCTGGCGTGCCTTTGTTGTACGCTTTTATTCGTTTTCTTGAAGCCGAACTGCACATGGGTGTTAACCGGAAATCAGACAAAAAGTGTGGCAGGTGTATTGTTTAGTGCCACACCAATACCCGTTAAGCCGGCTGCAGATACTTCTGCGTCACCGGACAGACGTAGGTTGTATGTGGCTGTCCGGTTGGTCGGAGATGTCAACTCGAGCACTGCGCGTGGGCCTTGCAACCATTTTTAGTAAGGCAGCAGATATAAACAGCGAGGGAATCTAGAGTACGTACCAAATCGGCCTGTAGCCGGGTTTGTATATGTGTCCGAACATTTAAGTTTGCCAGCAGAAGCGAGTATCGGGGTCAAAGAGTGATTGTTGTGTTATGGAGATTGGGTAGAAGTAACGGAGAGTGAAGCGAGATAGTGCAGCGAAGTAGTAATGTAACCCATGGTTTTTGCAGAGGGCGCGACACTACCCAGTTGCCCGAGCCGGAGTAGGAAGCCAACCTAAGGGACACGACCCCGAGCCTTTGGTTCGACAGCCTACCTGCCACGCAGGTGGGCAGTTTCAGGTAATCTCGTCCACTGGGAGCCGGTGACAGATTTCTCAGCGCATGCTTATTTTGTCTGTTAAGTTGCTAAACGGGAGCACTGTACTCTCCACAATTATAGCAGCTAGTTGTTGGCGTACAATGCTCCACCA